TTGGCTGCTCTGAGCAGGAATATTTTCCTTGGGGTTTCTCTCTGCATTGGCTGCTCTGAGCAGGAATATTTTCCTTGGGGTTTCTCTCTGCATTGGCTGCTCTGAGCAGGAATATTTTCCTTGGGGTTGGTGGGCCAGGATGTGTTCCACTCTCTCTCCTTCCCTGTTCGTTTGCTCTTGTGTGCTCTGATCAGACATGCCCCTCTCCCTGAACTGTAGCTTCAGTACTGTCCTGTGAAGTACATTCTTTTGGAGGGGCAGGGGGGTTGTCCATGTAGTTGGGATTTAAGCTGGCCCTGCAGACCTCTCTATTGGTTCCCTGCTTCATGCCAGTAAGATGCATTCATGTCTTGAACAGTGCCAATTTTTATTGGCCCATGAGGTAACCCAGTTAGCCAAACCTCTTACCTCACAGGCCTCTGGGGGCTTGGGTGGATAGAAGATTGCGTGGGCAGCTAGGTGCAGGCATTCTCAGTACCTAAGCTACACTTTCCCTCATTCCCCCTCTTCTCCCATCATTCCTGCTTTCTTCTTTGGTGCCCTGCCTACCCCACACCATAAACATATACATATAATAACTGCCAAAAGATCAGGATTCCCCTTCCACAAGGTGAGTGGTTTTTGCATTTTTGTTCTATTATAATATTTTTATTTTTTTCTCCAGTTCTCTCCCACTTTCTCTTCCAGGCACCTATTCCAGAGCCACCCTAACCAACAGATACTTCCATATCATTGCCGCCTTTTACTTATACATCAGTTTTAATGTCATTCCAGACCTATGATCTCTGACCTGTCTATTTAGAGTTCAACTATCACTTTATATCCCTTACCTCAATTTATTATTCTTATTCATACCTATATTCTACTATTTATTAATTTATTGTCCATCTTCCACATTTTAATCTCTTTTATGATTACTATATGTCCACGCATTATATCAGAAATATAAAAAAAATACTCAACATAGTTTACATTATATTAATAGAATAATGCAGTATGCACTCAATAATGATAACTATCCTAGAAAGTAACAAATATTGATAGTGAGTGATTTGCCATCCATCAATATGTGAGAAGGCAATAC